GAATTACCTTACCTGTGATTCATTCCTGTTCTCAGAGCAACAGTTTGAAAGAGCCTGAGTCGTTGTTGGAGCCTAAAGGCTTTGTTTGAATGATACAGAACGTTTTTCAACAAGACAAGGCCGTAAATATCTGTTCTGTGATACGAAGGAAGCTTCCAAAGTAATGGTGTTGTAATCTTCCTGAGTGATGAAATGCGCTCAGCCAGTTCTCATGACTGCAGTTAGATCTCAAACGTAAGAGATCACAGTCCGCGTGTTCACTACAAGCTGGGTCGTGCTCGGCTTGTAGGCCGTGTTACTGTGTTTTAAGACTGGATTGACAGCACAATCATTACAATCCTACTTCAGAGCGCTCCGGATAGAATTTTCGAGCTGATAACGGAATATGGGGATCCGACAGCCTTCTCCCTTGCATCTGACGTCATTTTCGCTACTTTCAAATCTTTGTATTTATTTGTTATTTATCATGCACGCACGGGTGCGCTACAATATGAGCTAAACTAGATGAGTTACAAAACAAAGCAATACAAAGAAAAGTAACGACAACATTAACAAATTTGGCAACACAAATACACATAAGCGGGGACCCTCCAGACCTCAAACTTACAAAAATCTTGAATGCCCATCATAGTCAGTATGTCAACTTCTTTGAGTTTCCTCCTGAAAACCAAGGTATTTGGCGCCTTCTGCAGCTCCGATGGCAGCGAAAGTTTGCTGGACCTTGTCACTTTTGCCTGAAATTTTTTGAATGAGGGCTCCATATCTGCGAGCCATACTCAAGTATGGGGACGACCTATGCTTTATAAAGCTCCAATAGAACCGGTCGATCATTCAGTCGAATGTTTCTGAATATTGCGAAGAGAGCGACGAACGCCGTCCTGACAACAATATCAATATATTGTGAAAAATCGAGATCAGAATTCATGAGAAATTCAAGGTCTCGAACTTCATTGGAAGTACTGGGAGAAATACGACGGTGTATGGTGCAGGCCTGGTTTCTCCCAAATGAAGTACACATGTTTTCGTAAAATTATAGGTATTCCCCGAGCGGTAGCCCACTCCATCATTTGCATACAGATTGGGTCGACGCTTGGTGCACGCATCCATAATTTTCATTGTCATAAACATCATATATTTTGATGTCGTCAGCATACATTATAGTTTTTACCAATGGGTGGGTAGTGAGGTACGCAGGTAGGTCGTAGGTGTAGGCCAAAAACAACAGAAGTGACAAGACACCTCCTTGTGGAACTCCACTACTACAAAGGTAGCTCCGCGAGAAACTACCCTTACACACATATGCCTATCTTCCAGAAAGAAACGGATCCAACTGAGTATGGACCCTTCGAACCCTAACTGTCACAGTTTCCGAAGAAGTTTTTCATGATTCACTCTGTCAAACGCTTTGGACAAATCAAAATAGATTATGTTCACGCCCTTTCCCTGGTTAATAGCAAGACTCCAATCAAACATACAGTCTCAAGAGTACTTGTGGATGCACAGCTGATGAATCCGTGCTGCTCCGGGGAAAATAGATTGCACTTGTCGAATGCTCAACGATTCTCCCACCTAGTATCATCAAGGGCTTTAGCCGGCGATGCAGGGATGCTAATAGGGCGAAAGGATGAGACAAGCTTCGGCTCCGGTTTGTGTGCAGTTTCTATACGCATTTTGAGGAATGCCATCGTAAGGAATAGAAGTAGAGCTTTCCAAAGACCTCAATGTTTTATAAACGGCTTCCTTGTTCACAATGCATTCACTAAGAATAATCAAGCACAGCGAGTTATGGGACCTACATTGGGAATACTTGCTTTCTAGTTGAAAAAACAAATGAAAAGAACTGTGCAAGCGTTTAAGCCTTTTGGTTATCTGTAAAATACGTTTTCCATTTTCATCAAGAAGCACAGGAATACAAGAGTGTAACTTGATTTTCTGCTTCATCAACGCGAAAATAGCATTCTTATAAGACTACTAACTCTCCTTTCTCTATTACATAATTACTTTCTCGAATGATGATCAAGCTCTCGACACAACTTTTTGTACTGAAGGCTCGACAATAGATTTCCATGTGTCTCACTACAGGGTCGCGACTACTGGGCTAGTAAATTTCATGTGTTTCGGATACTTCGTTTGCGGCACATTGGTGAAACCGAAGGGACATGCTGAGCTATACCCGCGTAGACAGTGCGGCAAAATCTCTCGTACATGTCATCACAGGAAGCGTACCCATCAAAAATGTTCCACCAGTTCACAGAGTAGAAATACTTTGATTGCGCGGAATAACGGCTCTGGCGAAAATGGGCAATGGAAGCTTATGGGGCATGGATGAGGGAAAAATGACTTCGAAACTAATAACACTGTGGTCAGAAGCTGCAAAAGGCGGCAGTACCGAAACGTTTTTAACAATAGGAGCATGCGATAATACGATGTCTAGAGTAGACTCTCCGCGTGTGGGCATAGTGACATATTGAACGAAGCCACAGCATCTAAAGAATTCCAAGAACTCAAAGGAAATAGAGTTTCTAGCTCTGGTCGCATCCCAATCAACATCAATGTTGAGGTCACCTAGAACGACCAACTGCTTATCTAGAACACAATGGTCAACAAGAATATCAATAAGTTCGTCATCATCATCTGAGGAAGAGTTTGGGAGTCGGTAAACAATCACGGCTCTGAACAGTACAGCAGAGCACTCGTCAAGACCATCGAGGCAAAGCAGTTCCGAGATGAGGAAGGCGTGGGTTGCAGTAGGTACTAAGAAGAATGAGTTCCTAGCTATGCAGCAGACACCACCACCCTTACACTTTCTTCGATCAAAAATATTAGAAGGGCGATTTCCAAGACTCGGAATTTGGTATTTTTGAGGACGGCCATGTTTCGGTAACACAAACAAAGTCTGGGTCGTAGGTATCAAGGAATAGTTGTAAGTGGTGTATTTTGTTGCTCAAGCTTCTCGCATTGAAAAGAAACCACCGAATGCCGTGCGGTGGATCGTGACGGGTTAGGCGTTTCTCGAGCCGCGTGTTTTGGGAAGCTCGTCGACCCGCCTTAACTCGCCACGGCACACCACCCAAAGACGGCTGCTTGCCTGCCTATTGCGCGCCCTACACTCCTGCCTTAACTCGAACTCGAGCTTGCGCTCCGCGAGAGTGAAACTTTTCCGTATGAAGATGTTCGGATGCCCCCGGCACGCAAACGGTGACTATTTGACAGGGCAATGACTTTTGGATGGGAGAACGAGCTTTACCAGCAGTAAGTGTGCACCGCCAGGTTTCCCCATGCGGTACACCTCCACAGGGCGGCACTCGACCCTAAAGCAATCCAGGATTTGACCAACCTTCCCCTCAAGCCCTCGTTGTTTGATGGAAGGTGCAGTGTTGGGAGCCGACTCCTCGATGCCAAAGACCACGAGGCTTCCTCTCTTCTCGGCGTCTACTGCATCCGCTATCGTTTCTAGTAGCTTAGATAGTAGCGCGTTGATGTATTTCGCCATAACGGGATCTTTTAGCTCCTCATTCCGTGCCATCATAGCGCTGATAATCTCCGAAGGTGTCATCCTTGAGACCTCAATTTCTGGAGGGCTATCAACGATGCTATTCAATGAAACTACTTTAGGCAGGCGTTCATAGCTTCCGCGACAGCAGCGGGCGATCGCCGCAACGCTATTACTTGCGCTCCGAAGGCTTCCGGGGTAAGCGGCTACAATTTTTACGGTTTTTTTTTCTTTGACTGCAATTTCCTAGTTCTGAAGCTTGGTTTGACAACAAGGATGGCGAGCCCAGCTTAATACGCTTTTGTTTTCATATTTTCTTTCTTATTTAGATTAGAAAATGAGCAAAAAGCGCGAGAGCTTCACTTGAGGTACGTTTTTATTGCTTCCTTTTTTCATTCTCGTCGAGGTTGTACATGCAGGTTTATAAAGTTTTCACCTGTTGATGTCGCGTAAAATGATTTGCGCTTTGGTTCCTAGGGAGATTTCTTTCTGTTTCTTTTTTTTCTTCGTTGTTTGAACTTGACTCGTAAACTATGAATGTTTTGGAAGTTGGAACAGCTTAAGCGATAGGAATTCCTGAGGCGCATGCATAAATTGAAACAATAAAAACAAAAAAGAAGCTCGCCTAGGAAATGCAGTTGGTCTTACCCCGACCTAAAAGGAAGTTCTTACCTCATGTTCCAGATCTGCATGTGTAGAAAGTCATAGTGTGTCTGTTAGGAGCCCTTATTAAGAGTAAAGAAGGTTTTACAAGTTGAATTCCCTTATTCATCAGGCGAGCATTCACAATAGCGTTGGGGCGCGCGCTGCCATGCACCGACGATCGCCGCGATCGCCGGCGATCGCGGCGATCGCTGGCGATCACGACGATCGCGGCGATCGCTGGCGATCCCGGCGATCGCCGCTGCTGTCGCGAACTATGAACGCTGCCTTACAGCAGCAGACTGGCGAGAACCCGTCCTAATTTGCGACATGATCAAAACCAATATTACTTAGCTGGTCGTATCGACGAGAGGCCATTCACGCAGTCCACAGTGTGCTGAACACAAGTCCTCAAATTCGACGGAATATGGATAAAATCAGCAGCTGTGGACAAGAATGAAGTTTTATAAGAATACCATGTTGTTTAGTCACAGCGGCTTCAGGAGAAAGTATTCGTAGTCCAGAATATGCTCAGAACAGCAGCAGTCACCGACCGCCAACGGCAACGATATTACTTGTATTGTATATATTTTTTAGTTTAAGACTTGATTCCAGTAACTAGAAAATCATCAAAAAAAAACTTCGAGAAATAGGATATACCGCAGCGGTGTCGTCAACTGCCTAAGTTCCTGGAATATGAGTAGTGAAAGTCTCATATGGCAGAACTGAAGGCATCCTCATAGAAGCTAAATGTGGGCCCTTCAGAGGCCATTGGACTATTGTCATGTGTTGTATTAGCCTTGTTATTAAGTTTGTCTAACATTAAGTTCTGAAAAGGTTCCCACGGACAAAGATTACATTTTAGATATTTCTGTGCGAGACGGATGACCAAATAGAAAGAAGCGAGAATTGTGACAATCTGGTCATGGATAAAGAAGCTCGTTCGTGCAGCCATGTAATTGCTGCTTGGGCTGCAGGCGAAGGCGTACGTTGCTTCCTAATATCTTTTCCTACAGAAGCTATCGCCTTTCTATTAGGTTGTCCCAAAAGTTCGTGGACATTTTTCGAATCTCGTATCAGATCTTTACGCAGCCATTTCGAGATCCAGTTATGTGGTCTATGGGAAGTGTGTGAGGTGAGCATCCCGCAGCCTCTTCACCGTCCCTCGCAGTCGTTCTTATCATATGAAAAACGCTAATTGAAATTCATCATTTCGACACACTTCGCAATACGAATCTCCACCAAGCGGCAATGTGGATGGAGCCATAGGCGGCATTTCCCTGTTTTAGGTCTTCATGTTACCTTTCACAGTACGGACTTAGAATGGCCCAATTGATTCCGCGTTAGTGACTTCTATCTGGGTGAAAAACTTCGTCCAAGGAGGCCACCTGCCTTGGGTTTGAACCTACTGTGTTCCTTGATTAAAACCAATATGTACAAATCAACTTGTTATCTAGTCCTTACACTTGACTGGTCCCAAAACACAAATGAGAGAGGGCCTCGCTTCCTCAGAAAAGTTAGAAGTTCAATCAAAATTTTTCTCATGACTTGACCAGTGCTCCAAGGGGAGCACATGTGGGTACTGTCTACAACTTTTCTCCCGCTTCCGCTGTACGGACTGGTTGAACAGAACTGTAACTGGATATGGAGTGGATGCTCTAAGGTGAATCACTCCCGGGAGCGCCAGCGGCTAGATTTCCCAGAAAGGGCAGAACCGATTGCGCAATCCTATCAATGCAGTAGGGCGGTGAGACTGTGTATGTGGTGGGGTTTCTTTCTCCCTTCCCATAGCGGAATTTCTTCTTCTCAGCGCTGTGGTAACCTACGAACCTATTACACTGCAAAGGGGGGTTGAAAATCGCTAACATTTGATCCCACATTCTGAGAGATGGTCCCAAAACCGAGCAATGTTTGCCTACTCCTCCACAGCTCAGAGTCACACATTTGGAAAACGACACTGCTCGAGATCCCGAGGCTTAGCTGGGGAATTTCACCTTAGTCTTCGTGTAGCCCTGACCTAGCTCTTTCCGATCGACATCTAAACTAATCCCACAGCGGCCATCTTCTGAGTAAAAAATACGATTTTTGGTAGTGCCTCAAAAATAACCCAGCTGCCTTTCTGCCACAGAACTAAGAGGCTTCTGTAAGCAGGGCAACCATACATTGCGTATTGATTGGCAACAAGCTGCTAATGATATATATAATATATATATATATATATATATATATATATATATATATATATATATATATTATATATATATATATATATATATATATATATATATATATATAATATATATATATATATATATATATATTATATATATATTATATATATATATAATATATATATATATATATATATATATATATATAATATATATATATATATATATATATATATATATACATATATATATATCATTAGCATATACAGGGGGGGGCCAAAAAAATGTCATTCCGGCCGAGTCACATATGAGCGAAGTTTTCGCAGCCCAGACAGAGGAAGTGGATATGAGTACCAGGGCGGAAGATACCCAAGATCTTCCTCTATAAGCAGGAGCCGGCTGGCGCCATTCACCTTCATGCTACACCAAATAGTGAAGTCATCTCCAGTCGCGGCTGGGTGGAGAACGCCTTTGGAATTCACGTGGCTTCCAAACAGCTGCGGAACTTCTTGAATGGAATCACCCATGGATAGGTACGTGGAGATCAGTACTCTTGATCTGCAAGACCTCAAATATCGAGCAGCGCCGGCAACGCTCGCTACGGTCCAGGGAACATCATCTTCACACCATTCACAAGGCGCGGGTGGTTGATGGTGTGGACCGGCCGTACTTGGAATGGGGAGACCGATATTTTCTTTGTAGACCCGACTGAAGGTGAGCGCTGGCGGTTACATCAAGTAACTCGAGAAGGATATCCTCCCTACATGTGGTCGCCCGTACCTTCTTGGAGACCTTGTGCTCCTACAGGTTCGGGTGCCACCACATGGAATCGAAGGGTTTTTGGAAAAACTCCGCACCTACTTCGAATGGAAGGGCGTTTCGTACCTGATGAAGATGTATTATTGAAATATGTCCCCTGACCTAAACCTACTCAATTACCTAGTTCGGGCGGAGCTCAGCAGGGTGTCTACAGTGGCGGAGAAAATCAACGATCTCGCTCAACTCTGGTAACCACTCACTTCGCGCGGCCGAATCTCTCGATGGCGCTCCTCCAGAAGGCTGTGGTGGAGTATCATTATAGTATTTAATGTGCTTTTAATATGGTTAGTAAAAATGTCCGATAAAAATTATAATAGGGTGTAACTTATAGCGCCTTTGAATGCCATGGAGGCCAAAATGACTCTTTTTTTTGCCCCCCCCCCCCCTGTATTCGCTTGTTTCCTGAACCAATGGCCTCTCAAGAAATAAAGTTACTGTCGAGCGGGAGAGGCCGTAAATCCGCCAGCACGGACACTAGCGCGTCGATTTGCGTCATTTTTGAAAAGTAGACAAGGCTTCCCCACAAGTGAGCGGAGCTTCCATTGGTGGGCGGAGCCAATAGCTAAAGTTTAAAAAAAGCGAAAATCCGGAAAAAAAACAAAATTCCGCGATAAACAGTGCGCGGGTCAGAGGGGCGGGGTTTGTTGTGCTGCTGCATGGTTATTCGTTTTGTGAAGATTGGATGTGAAAAGAACTACGTCGAAAAAAGTTGTAGAAATCAGAACTTACGTAACTTCACAGTTAAGTGGGCGGAGTCAGATCTATATTATCAATCTTTTCAGTGGAAGTGTGTGTGCAAAGGGCAAAAACAAAAAAGTCGAGGGAGCAGATTTCATGAAGCATCTCAGAAAACCCTGTCCGGGCTGAGAAGTGGGCGGGGATAATGTGAGGCTTGCAACAGTACCTAGTGTGGTCTAGTTATCAACCACCTAATTGTAAGGGGTGCGTCCGATTTGTTTTGAAAAGTGTCCGATTTGGTTTGAAAAGTGTCCGATTTGGTTTGAAAAGTGTCCGATTTGGTTTGAAAAGTGTCCGATTTGAAGTGAAAATGGTATATATATAAGGGGGCCCAAAGAAAAAGTCACTTTTCTTCATTGACTTTCGAGGCGCTATGAGTTACACTTTATTAAATTCTCATCGGACATTTTTACCACCATATTAAAGGCATATCAAATACTACCATGACACTCCGCCGCAGCCTTCTGGACGAGCGTCGTCGAGAGATTTTGGCACGCGACCGCGATGTGGTGTCTAAGATCACCGAGATAGTCGATTTCTTCGCCACGTAGACTACCCTGTTGAACTCCGCCCGAACCGGGTAATTGAGGGAATTCAGGTCAGGTGATCTACTCGGATATTCCATCTTCTTTAGGAACTCAAACCCCTTTCATTCCAAGTAGGTGAATGTTTCTCCAACACCCTTCGATTTCATGTGGTGGCACTCAATGCTGTAGCAGTACAAAGTTTCCAAAAAGGTACGGGCGAACACATGTGAGGAGAATATTCTTCACGAGTTGCCCAATGTAAACGCCAGCGCTCACCTTCAGTCCGGGGTCCGCGGAGAAAATATTGGCCTTTCCATTCCAGGTACGACCGGTCCATACCATCAACCCGGCCTTGGCAACTGCGGTGAAGATGATGTCCTAGACCGTGGCGACGTGTCGGAGCTGCTCGATGCTGGAGGTCATCCAGATCGAGAGTACTGGTCTCCCTGTAGCTATACATGGGTGACTCGATACTAGATTTCGCATCTGTTTGGAGGTGACATGAATTCCAAAGGTCTCCTCCAGTCTGGCTGCGACTGGAGATGACTTCATATTTTGTTGTACATGGAGGTGATGGGCGAGAGCCAGCCCTGCTTATAGAGGAACATTTTGGGTATCTTTCGCCCTGGTACTCGTACTGAACTTGAAAAAATATTCGAAAGTTCTACGAACTCTTGGGACAACCTGATAAATAACCCACTGCGAGAGGAAACTTCCTCTCAAGTTCAAGGAAATCGGTTGTTGAGGCCCTTCGCTTTAGAGCAATGGAAAAACAACTTGAAGTAGGTTGAAACTCGCAAAATAAAACTCCTAAGATGTATGAATATACTGCGAATTGCTCACTTGTTCGCTGGGTTGAAGTTCAGCGCATCATAGTTTTTGGGAAGAGCTATTCATAAAGTTGAAAAAATCTTAATATGTTGCCTTTTTTATCTTAGCGTACAATAGAAACCAATAAACAACATAGTCGCTATTATTGACTGCAGTGGGAAGGTCAGCAATCTCCTTTTTTAGATGCAGGCGGCTGAGAGTTCAGCACATTGACGACGTCTTCACAATTAATGCATGTCCGATTGTCTCATGGAAATGAGACTCGAATCAGACAAACGACACGATATGAGTTTAAATAATAAAGTGCCCAGTTCCCAGCCTCGTTCACCCTCCAAAAACCCAGCTCCTTCAAAAACTCCTAGGCGGCAGAGGAGAGACTAATATTGGGTCGGACCAAAGTAATGGCGTTTTTTCCTAACTCAAAATATTTCGCTAAAGATCTCTTAGTTTTTGAATCTTCTCTTTCCCGTAATATTTAGGTGCTCAAAATGGAGTGTCAGGTCAACGAAATCAAGCATTTTCGACAGCCTCCCTATTTCACCTTAATTAAGAAGCTAAAACCACATAGGCCCAGTTGATGAGTGTATGACCAAGAAGCTACGTCTCTTAGGAATGCTTATAATGTTTTACACGATTTTAAAATTTCAGTTCTGACCTCACAGACAAGCATCGGACCTAATGCCCTATTCTGTCCAACAGACAGCTTACAGAATTATCTTACTCACGGAGATTTATGCCAAAGATTGAGGAATCATTAGAGGTCATGGTGGTTCTTCCTTATCATTATCAAGCCCCCACAAATCCTATCCGCAGCCTCATCGTGGCGTGGGGGTGAACGGTTTTGGACTGTTCCAAAAACGTACC